TATATATATATATATATATATATATGTGTGTGTGTGTGTGTGTGTGTTGTTGTTGTTGTTGTATATATATATATATATATATATATATATATATATATATATATATATATATATATATATAGTATTCCTCTTATAAAACTGCTATACATAAGCCTACCTGTGTGTGTTGTGTAGTACTAGAGTGAGTGCATGCTGCTCTCGGCGTCCCTTCTGACACGAATAGGCCTCCAGCCATTTGCGGTACATAAGTTTGGTGCGTTCATTACTCAGTGCATAGTACACCCCGGCGTTGAAGTGAGTGCGCGACTGCAGATCCTCTGGAATACATCACCGGAGGATAGCAAGTGTAAATATAGGATGAGTACCAAAATTCTGTGCATATGGGTATTCGGAGCATGACAACTATCTCGGATCACAGTATTTACTTTCCTCAATGTGATAAATCTGTAAAAGAGCCCGAATACAACCGACACTCTGTGCACTTGTGACCAAAGACGACCGAGCAAGCCGACTAATCTTGATAGGTTTTGCCCATAAGCTGAATTTAATCTTGATAGGTTTTGCCCATATACTGATAATAACTGGATCCCGAAACAAATACGTTAAAAAAAAGGAACGCTTGGGACGTACGGACAGGACAGGTTGTAAAAACAAAGAAACATACACGACGTGCATGTGTAGAAGCATACAAAAGCATTAAATTATGCGTGTACAGTCGGTATATGCTAATTGAGGCTGTACCATATGTTCTTCGTTGTACGTACTCTTTGCTTTGTATATAGCACAGTGTCTCTCCGCCACAAAACAAACAAACAAACAAACAAAACAAAAATAAAACCAAACAATCATAAAACAAACAAACAAACAGAACGAACATATATACTTCTAACTTAAAGATACCACGATAGATGTACAAATAGCGTACATCTGAAGGACAATGGTTAAATCAACACGCATTTGCCCATACCGTCGGCCTCTTGTCGTAAAACGCCCTCCTATTCGCCACTCTGTGCATACTTGTAGTTTGTTCTATCGTAGCAGATAGTTGTCTTATGAAAAAAGGCGTACAAACACATGCACCTGCAGGTACGCATCTGCCTTCACACACACACACGTCACAGTACCGAACATTCGCACAATAGGAACACAGTCACCACAACCAACTCACTCCAAAGGAATTTGCTCTTGCCGTCGGCCTGCCATTGGAAGTCGCACTGGCTGGTTCGACTCTGTACGTAGTCCATGGGATTCTGCAGCAACACGGTGTCTGCGTCCAGCACAAACACATTGTACCCGTGCCTAATACCCAGTGATAGGAACAACGAGAGAACAAACGTTAAGGTTGCAGAATATTGTACTGGTTAAGTGTTCACTCGGTACGACGTGCATGGCGCGTTGTAGCTGCACGGTATCTGTGTTCAGCACAAACACATTGTACCTGTGCCTAGTACATAGCGATCGTAACAAATAGGTAATGAAATTGCAAGTATCTCGATAGTCCCTCTACGGCTCTGTGGTATCAAGTGGTGCAGGAGTCTGCACCTCCCGGGGAATAAGAGTGCTAAGAGACCCTAGATATACATCGATATACATACCCATACATACATACATACATACATACATACATACATACATACATACATACATACATACAGACAGACAGACAGACAGACAGACAGACATTCATACATACATAAAATACATAAATATATACATATATACATAAATACATAAATACATAAATACATAACTACATAAAGGGACCCTATATAAACATCGATATACATACTCAGTTATTAAAATTACAATAAGCTCGAGGGATAGAAAATGATAACAGTCTTACACATCTCCAAACGACGGGATTCACACTCACCGTATGATGGCTTCGATCAGCGTGGTCTTGACGCTCATGATCTCCTTCCACGCCTTCGTGGCATCTTTCGTCTTTGGTTTGAATTTCATGTTATGGCCCTCCAGCATGCGCGCGTCGTAGTGCACAGCGTTGGGATCGCCCCCAAGAGATACCTCTAGATCCTACGCAAGAGCGGTAGTGGGCAATTAAGGAGGAGTACATGAGGTACTCTGAAGCTCGCTCGAGATAAGTATAGCGGCGAATAAAAGTAGAAATACTGTGGCTATGGATTTCCCTTGGTAGCATGGCTTCATAATGCGACAGTCGTGATACACCGTAGTGGCTCCACCTCTAAGCCATCGCGTCATCGCGTCTTTGGGGTATCTAAAAGCAATAGAATGAGACGGGAGATATATCCAAGTCTTATCGTTTACTTATCAGTTAAAATACAGAATCGGTGCACTAACATCAGATTTAGCAAAGCAGGCATACTTTTGGGTTCAGATTTGGTGCTGAGTCATAGGCTACAAAGCGTGCGTTGTCTGTACTTATGCGGGCGCATAGGAATACTTTCAAATCCAAAGCTGACGCGAAGGGCACGGTAACACGGCCAGACCGACTTAACTATCTGTAAAGTCACATTCACACTTTTCATGGATAGACGTACAGATATATAAATATATGCACCCCTATTGCCTCCTTTTAATAGAGGTCTCTGGATAAACGTACAGATATATATATATATATATAGTATATAGTACTAC